TTTGGGAAAGAACAGGAGCGATCACAAATACGTCTGCACACCTCATATAACGAACACATTGAACGTTTTTTCACCGCTTTTAGATGAAAAACCGTGGAAAATACAAAAGCAACCGATTTCACGTAGAAGATGTATATACAAAATCCACCTTTATATTAAAAATAATTTAACTCAAAGATTTTCATCAAAGTCGCTTAAAAAACTCACAACAATGGTTTTTCTTACGATGGATTCTTCGAAAGTAATTCGCCCCTAAATACTCTTGCTTAAATAGTATTGATAGTATTAAAGCTTTTAATTACTTGTGAGTAATTGAAGCTGAAATTGGAGCTCACAGACTAAAGAAGATAACAAAGTGATAACAGTAAAACAACGGAATACTCAAGAAAAAAGGTATATAAAAAGTTATATAAAAAGTTACATAAAAGTTGGGGGAAAAGTTTAAATGAATTCCCATAGATAGTGAGTTTAGCGTTATGGTGAACAAAACAGATACAGATACAGATTTTGAAATGAATGTCTAAATAACCACCCTGACGACCCGACAATGACTTTCGCTTTGTGTTGTTAATAAAAACTAATTATTTCAGTCAATGAGGTGAATTGAAAAGTGACTGACAAAGCCTAATAAAGTTGGGTTGACTTTTTTAGATAAATCCTTTTGGAGTTAGTCACCTCTCATGGCAGTCAAAATTAAACTGAATTTCAATGAAATATAAGAAATTGTTTGTTTCTGTCACCAACATTTGAAAAAAAAAATACGGAAAAACAACATTCATATATTCGATATTGTTTTAAACTTCCTCCTGAAAAAAAAAACACTGGTCTCCTCCGATCCACCTCGACTTAGTCCCGCTCAGCTCCACTTGTTGCACCAAAAACTATTGGACAACGCAGCTGTACCTATCTTTTTCCTAGGTTATATATGTTATATAATGAAAACGACATTTCCAACATAAGCAGTTTAAAGACGTTATCTGTAGTAACAGCACAGTCACTGTGGATAGACTGATGGTTCATGGAGAAGCTGAAGTGAGATTTAGACTTGGAAATTATGAAAAAGAAGTTGAGTTATTAGCGGCCACATCGTCGACGAATTCATCTTGGGAGTACACAACATATCCCTCTACAGATTCGTGGTGGACATGAGAAACAAACTGTGGAAAGCTGGAATGAGGAAATTATATTCGATGTATTATCTCAGTGTTATGACAGCATCATAGTGGTAATACCGGAACTCCAAAAACTCTTCAAACATCGAGAGAATCATTCAAGCGGAGACTGCTGGACCTGGTGGCTTGGACACAGCGTTGATAGAGCCATTCAACGGTTCTGTATTAGGAATTTTCGTTGACATATATCTTGTAAATGTAAACAAGCAGACCAGAATCGAGAAAGAAGTACCTCTGCAGCATGCTCAACAACCCGTGAAGGAAAGGAATTCATTGACTCCTTCAGGAAAACGTGGAATCACCTATATGAAAAAAAGCAATGCAAGACCTATAGAAAGATGAAAAAAATTTTTTGAAGGGCAAAATCATCAGTCGAACGCATTAGTTCACATCGGATCGATACTGGCATTGCCAAGCCCATACGTCAACCACCGAGACGATTGCTCTTCGCGAAGCTTCATCTATCGTAAAAGATGTGTTAGAGAAAGCAGTAATTAAAGAATCGAGTATCACCTGGTCGTCACCTGTTGTGTTGCTGATTAAGAAAGATGGATCCACGAGATTCTGTTTAGATTACAAGAGGATCAATGACGTCACCAGAAAGATCAGTTACCCCCTCCCCAGAATAAATGACACCTTGAACATTTTGGCTGGATGCAGGTGGTTCTCAACATTAGATCTAAAGGATATTGGCAGGTGGCTGAGAATAAACAGAAGATTGTCTTTTCCACTTGCACTGAATTATATTAGTTCAAGATCATACCGTTTGGAATATGCATCTGCAACATTTGAAAGTTTGATGGAGTTGATGTTAAGAGAACTTGCCTGAAAAATATGCCTGGTCTATCTTGATAACATTATAGTCGAGGAGTGTTCTCAGGAGGCCGTAGAATAATAATTTGCAGATCATTCTGAAGTGCTGCCTATTCCAGAAAAAGGCGAATATTTCGGAACACGTTGTGTTCTCAAAAGGGGTTGAGCAAGCATAACGTAAGAACTTTCCTTAGACTCTGTAGGTATTATCTGCGTTTCGGGAACGACTCCGTTTGGTCACCACAACCATTTGCTGCCCTAGAGAGACAATTGACCAGTGATCCAGTTCTGGCATACCCAAAAGAGGAGGACTTGTTTTCAGTCGATACGGATGTATCTCAACATAAAAAAAGGAGCAGTACAAATACAAGTACTCACTTACGAAAATAATAAGAAGAAACTGTTATCACTTGTTTCGGTAAGCTCCGAAAGAAATTAATGCATCATCAGGAAAAAGCTCCTCGCAATGTTTGAAGCGGTGGATAACTGAAATAATATGAGTTTAATTGTACGGTGTCGTCAGTTATTGTCGAATCTACTGGGAAAACGTAACGATACTGCCAAATTGTGGTTGGAAAATCTTGGCTATTTTTTAACCTTTTTGGATTATTGGCTCTTTCCAGGTAAACAGTCGCGATTGCATGTTTTCGGGCCTGTTGTTTCCTCTGCAACTATGGCAGACATTATCAAAGGAGATGAGGCAAAGATCGAGGTAATTTACCTTGCTGCAATATGCAAACTGAAAGTGGTTCTGACGTGGTTCTCATCTTGTTTTTGCATTGTATATTATCCACAGCTGTACAGTAAAGAATTTCATTAACGTAAAAGTAATTGTAAGAAGGCTTAAATATCAATCAAAACTAGATATCGACACACTTCATGATACACAGATTCTTCCAATAATTGAAGAATAGCTGGACTGAATTACGACTATTTACCCGAAAACAGCAAACAAACAGCAATAACGTGTGACATCGAGTTCTATTATACATGCAAAAACGTCAGGGCCACTTTCATTTGGCATATCGCAGCAGAGTAGATCACATCGACCATTACCGCAGTTGCAGATGTTACTTCAGTTCCAAAAACCTGCAAACCATGGTTACTAAACGTGGAAGCAGAAAATCTGTTAGACATATCTTTCTTTTTTATTAAATCCAACCTTTCCAATAGTTTACAAAATACAACTGAATGTATGAGCAAATCTTCACATTTAGTAGAAACCTGAACGTTTTTTTTCATATCAGTTGAATATTGAAACACTAGAGTATTTTGATAAAATAGAGAAACTTCAATTCTGAATCACAGTTTTCGAAATAATAGTAATAATATGTATAATAGAAGGTAACATATTTGATCATAATTGCAGGTACTTGAGATTGACTGCTGTTGAAGATAAATTGAAGAGTCTGAACTTGATAAAAAATAACAAAAACCAGAGATATTTTATCAAAAGAACTTTTCACGGTTTCGTCGAAGACGACCATATTCCGTTTCTGGAAAAAAGTGAGTACCTAATTACTTTTGATTTGTTTGTGTATTCCTAAAGAAGTACAGCTCCGAATATACAGGTTACTGGAACTTTTTTTTTCATTTGTAGAATAGGCACTTTTACATATTTCTACTAATCCGTTACTAATGGCTATATAACTTATTAAGAAGACTACAGATTTGATGCAATATCAATCTTTTGATTGCCCTAATAATTATATCATATATTTGTAATACGTTATTATACCAAGTCAAAAACATTTGAATATTGTGGATGTACGATGGACGTCCAATTTATAAAAGGTTAAACCTCTGGTGTAGAATAACTCCAAAACGAACGCCTTAGTGTAGGTATGTTCGAACTACATAAAAGGACAAACAAGAGGATGACACGTTCAGTTTGAGTAGAGCCTTGATGATGATAGCACGACCAGCTATCGAAAGCGCTCGCATATAATAAAGAGGAGTTATAAAGCTTCAAATCCTTTTTGTAACATTATTAATATTAAAATACTGAAAATAAAAGAAAATTAAATGCATCATTCATCATATATATAGATAAATACTATTTTGATCATTTCCATGTTGATTTCAATTTAAGAGCCACCGGTAGACAGCTGTTTCAGCCTATTGGGCATCGTTAGTACCGGGCAGGCAGTCCTCGATTGAATCCTTATTTCACAAATTGAGAATAATTATTTTCCTCTCATACTGCTTCCGGAATTGTAATTTTTTTTAGAGTTACATACTTGAAAAGTTTTGGCTGCCTAGTCACTTCTCCATACAAAAATGTGGAAATCTCCCAAAGAAAGGAATAAAACAATTGATTCCAAATTTAACTCTATACAAAAATGTGTAGTCCATGTGAAGAAGTAACTTTTAGACACAAACTGAAAAAAAAAAGGCTTCTCGAGACAACTACTTTCATATAAACAATGAATTAAACAAAGGAAAAACACTTTCAACCAACTACTTCTATATGAACATGGAAATGTGTCCGAAAAATTATTTCAGCATATGGGTCATTTCAATTACGCTATAATGAATACATTTGAAACAAAAAATCTTCATCTACGAAATATTTGAAGGGGAGAATTAGAAAGCCAATATCTTTCTTTCCCAAAAGATAATAACACTACTGAGAATATCCTGTATCAATATGGATGACACATACGCCGTCTAAGAGGGGAAATTGAAGATGAATTTTCGAGAAAATTCAATTTGATAAATCTTAAAAATTTTGCTTAATTTACTTAATATTTTCAGAAAATGATAAAAACACTACTATGAACTTTATTTATCAATCAATATGAATCAGTTAGACGGCTTGCGATTCAGCCATATTGTCATGCATATTTCAGAGTTGGTTAATTCATGGAAAGTTCATCTGCAACTCCTCCGCCCCTTAGACTGTTTGAAAGTAATCTTTATTAATATAGTATGTTGATTAATATACAATATAGATGTATGATGAAAACTTACAGGAGCAAATATTTCCCATTCTCAATACAACAAATACATTGGTAATGTTTCAGTGTAATGATGAAATTCAAAATTAGATATTGAAGAGCAAGTCACTCACTGCTGCATTTTTGTATGTGTCGTATGCTGAGTAATTTATATTATAATCATTTCACAGATGTTCCTGTACTTCATCTCATCTCACATCCCTTTCCACGGGAGTGGCACACAGCAGGTGATAATCGTGATATTATCGACATGGATACTGTTGAAAATATTAACAGAATATTGAGAGTTTTTGTTGCAGAATATCTGAATATGTCAGTAAATCCTAATTCCTAATTTGTTTTCGTGCCTATAGGATCACTGCATAGAAGTCATGGAGAAAACAATATTTTTTGAAGTTATACTAATATGATCAAAATCTTGACAGTTAAATGGGTTTTATATTTACTAAATAGATTTTAAATGGTGAAAAATGAATAGGTACTGATTATAATGAACATTTTTAATAACATTTGTAATCAACACAGAATAGATTCCTAAACAATTCTTATTTGCATTAAATACAAATACCCTTATTTTTGTATTGGTAAATAAATAGAGATGTTTTCCTTTGAATCCCAGAATGAATACCCTAATGATGAAACTAGGTTGGAAAAATGATTACATTTATTTGTAGTCAGTAGCACTTATTCAAATCACTGGTATTTTATATTCAATTATTATTCATTCAAATCTTCAGAGTTTCATTTTTCAATTTGACTATTTAAAAAAAGAAATTTAATTTGGATAGAGATACTCTTGCAAATTCCAGTCAAGATAGTTGAATATTTCATTATTCTGTTTTAATGCTAGTACCACCATATTTGGTTCACACCCATTGGCGGTACATATATTTTTGGAAAGAAAAAATTTTCACTTAGGTTATAACTTATTGTTTCGCCCCACCTTCATCATGAATGTTATGTCGCTTTGATTGGATGGATAACTTTATTCACCCAAAATACAATAATAATTTTTACGAAAATGTAATTAAGAATTCTAACAATAAAAATAGAACAGTTTGGAACCTAGTTAACAAAGAAATGAACAGAAAAAAAATCCAAAGAGATATTACTCTCAACTATAATAATAAAGTAATCTCAGACAGAGATCATGTTGCGAACATATTTGGGGACTATTTCTCTTCAGTAGTAGAAAATAGCTTAGCAGACCATTTTGGCGACAATAGATCATCCGTATGCACGGTTTCTGGAATTGAATCGAATACTTTTTTCTTTATGCCCGTTAACGAATGTGAAATTGACGCAGTAATTAACAATCTAAAAAATAAAAAAAGTACAGGAATTGNGTCGTACTTATCGGAGCGTGGCCTTGTATAAATTTGTATCTACTGATCTACAATTTTATCGTTTGATGTGATTTTTATGTGCTTAATACTGACCTATCCTATACGTTTGTCAACGTCTTTGAGGATGAATAAATATTATTATTATTATTATAATACTTCACGAATTTATTACTGAACTTTCGCGATAATTCTTCGAACTATTCACATTGTGCCAAATGGAAGCACCTCTGAAGCAGCTAGACGAGATAACCAACGAAATGTCAGGAAGATATTCCATATTATAGATAAAATAAACTCCCTCCTTTATTCCTCATACGGCTTCGGGAATAGTAATTTTTTTAATCGTTTTTCTACTATTACATACTAGAAAAGTTTTGGCTGCCTACTTCTCCATACAAAAATATGTAGTCCATGTGAAGAAGTAACTTTTAGACACAAACTGAAAGAAAAAGCCTTCTCGAGACAACTACTTTCATGTAAACAATGAATCAAACAAAAGAAAAACACTTTTGAAACAACTACTTCTATATGAACATGGAATTATACAAAAAACACTTTTTCATAATCAGTTTGTACTCCAAACATCCGTTATGGAATTCAATCATATATTATTCAAAGGATTTCTACTCAATGGCGGACATCCGATGTTTCGGAATAAGACACTTCCCTTATTGCTTTTTCAGCACCAATATGGATAACATTACAAGATGAAGCACTCGGTTCATTTATAAAATTATGACTTGATGTCACGAATGAGTTTAATCTACTCATGTATCGACGATAGTACGTAATGACGTTCATTCATTTATATGATTCAATCCCAGCCATAGGAATCTTGTTGAAATTTAAAAGGGTTTATGTTTGAAGAGATTTATTTTTGGGAAAGAACTAATTTTTTAGATATAGTAGCTCATTCAACCTAAAAAATAACAATCCTACTCCTGACTTCAGACAGGATTGGAAACGATTGCTCACTTAAATTACCCGGTATTCAGCATGGTCCTCCGACCATGTCCATTCGAAATATTCATTGGTTTGGCTTATTTTTGCACTCATCACATTATCAGTGTGATATTCATTACTGAATAGTGTTGACCAGTGCAATGGGGCATTCAATTCCATTCCTTGATAGTGATGACCAGGGTATATAGGTGCATCTCCGTACCTGGCCGGTAGACCATGTTGAACTGGTAGTTGAGAAATTGCCTACCGATGGGGCTTAATATGCGCCCCTAATAGTTCTTCACATTCAGCAGATACCTGATATTATTTGACAGTGACAACCGTTCTTATTCTTGAATGTGGTGAGCTTGATACTAGAAAGCCATTTTATTAACTGTTACCGGGTGTAGGACAGTTCGAGGTGCTCCCGTGAGGTAGAGTTTGTTGAGTTTCTTACCGGTTATGAATCATACCAGCGCAGATGACGAATTTACGTTTCAAAACTGCTCTATGTTTCAAAAACATCGGTTGAAGATTGACATGGCACAATCTATATGGATCCAATACAATCAAATTGTATTTTCAATTTAAATTAGCTTACTTTATTGTTAAAAAGCTGTGTTCTTTTGATTTGGGATTATTTTTTTTAATGTTGTTGAATAACTCTTTAGTGAAGTAGTCAGTTGGACTTGTTTTCCATCTACAAGGTAAGTAGATAGAAATATTAATAGAAGCTGAAAATTAGAAAATATTATAAACAAAAAATGAAAAATTAAAAGATTCCAAACCAAGTTACGTAACAACGTTTTGATTGTTAGTATCCACAATCGTCTTCGGGTGATAACTGGACTAATTCCTCTGTGATCTGAGTATTTATATGTCATTCGAGTGCTTTCACCTATCCCATCTTCCCTCTCTCCGCTTCATTGGTTTTAACGGGAGATGATCATTTGGCGGGAGTTGGTCGTTTTTCGTGAGGTTTTCGTGAGGCTGCTACGGATAGTGTTCCCAGATCTGAAGCAGGTCCTGATGTTATACCTGGACCCAATCCTTCTTATCCTTTCCGATAATCCTCTTATGTAGGTAAGTACAAGTACTGGTTGTGGCGGCTTCTCTTCCTTGTGGAGCTCTTGCTGTCTTCTAGCTAAAGCCTGTTCTACCATCGCTCTGGAGTAACCATTCCGTTGAAGGTCAATAATAGCCGAAACCGGTCAACAATAAAGAAGTATAGTGGAAAATAGACAAAAGTGTGTTTTGTAGTGTATCCTCAGTGACTCCTAATATGTCTTTGAGTGAACGGGTAATATTGAAATTGAGTCTATCATTATGATATAGAACGCATTGGGTTAACATATGTTCTACACTTGAAATAGAATTACACACTGTACATTTAGGTTGCTGTTCGCCCGTCAGAAGATATCCATGAGTAACACGTGTATGACCCTGTCAAAGTCGTGAGAGGATTACTTGTTTTCGCCTGTTATCAGGTGTGTGCTAGAATGGTAGAACTGGTGCCTTGATATTGGATAATTTTGAGGGTGATTCATTCCATTGGGATTGCCAACAGTTGGTGAGAATATGTTTGTAAAAGGGTTTCAGAGTAAGCAACTTGAAGTTCTGTTGCTGTAATCGGGTTGGTAATAGCTTCCTTTGCTAGTTTGTCCGCCATCTCATTACCTGCTATTCCTATATACGATGGAATCCACATAAAATGACTTTGTGATTCTTCATTTTGTACCAGAGAGTGTATAGCTCTTTTCATGAGGAGTATGGTGGAATGGTTGGTGTACAGTTCTTAAATTGCCTCAAGTACATTCAGCGAGTCTGTCACAATAAGGCATTTTGTTAGATTCCTTACTTCGGCGAAATTTAATGCTTTCAATATAGCATATAATTCTCCTGTGAATACTGTACTCACTTTGGGTAATTTGAAGGAGGATCTGTAATCAGAACTTATGAAAGGTGCCCCAAAACACCCTCTTCGGTTTTTGATGCATCCTTATATATCAAACAAAAGTCCTCATATTGGTTTATTAGTTGATGAAATTCTGTCTTAATTATCTCATGATTAGTTTCATTTTTGTTATACTGGGCGAGACTTATGTTTGTTTGTATTTGAGGAATTGTCCAGGTAGGAGAGTTTGATATATTTGAAGTATTCATAATATTTGGAAGTGAAAGACATAAACTGGATAGGTAGCGGTTATATCTCTCATAGAATGGAAGATCAGCTCTTTTTTTCTAGCAAAAGTGTTTTTGAATCTGTTTGCGACGACATTGTGATGAACTGGGTTTTCTGGATTTTAATTGACAGAAGCTGCATATGTAAGAGTCAGGAGTTGTCTCCGAGAAGATAATGATGGTTCACCTGCTTCACAACGGATGCTGTTTACCGGACTAGTGCAGAAGGCTCCAATTGCAATTCTGATGGCATTATTCTGAATGGTATCCAGTTGTTTTAGAACTGTCTTCTTTGCCGAGTTATATATGATTGCCCCGTAGTCTAGTTTGGATCTTATTAATGACCTGTAGATTTGCATTAAGGTCTTTGAATCGGCACCCCAACTTTTACAGGAAATGGTTTTCATCAAATTCCTTTCTGACAGGAGGTTTTAAGGTGTTGAATATGTAGTTTCCAGTTTAGTCGGTGGTCTAATTACAAATATATTGTTCTTTGTAACACATCTGTTCAATATAGATATTAATATGAATATTCAAGTAAAATATGAATAATGAACACCATTAATATTAGTCTGATACTCAAGCCAACCGTAGCGTCGTTGATTTTGAATCGAGGTACATGAACTGGTTTTTAACACCAATAAGAATTCCCGCTACAGGGTGATATCAAGACACATATATAACAAAATTATAAATAAGATTTATATAACAAAATATATTTCATGCAAAGTCTATACTTGTTAAAACTAAAAACCATAAAAACATTTCTCAATTGAAATTCAAATAGATTACATAACATTTTCTCTTTGGTTGTGGGTGCTTTTGAAAAGTAAGGATGATTGTGAATGGTGCGAAAATATTTTATTTGTGACAGACAAAGTTGAAGTATTAATTCATACACGTTCCGTGGCCGCTTGCATTAGACTGTCCCCAACTCACTTGTCTCTTTCGATGGGCAGCAGGTAGAAGGTCGGGTTGATTCCGCATTCGGGATATTTGGATCGTTACAGTCCCCCCCTCGTGTTCTGCTCACAACTCGGGAAGGAACACTTGAATCTTTGGAAGGTTGATTCGTTTGAGGTCTACTCGTCTTATGTAGTTCTACGACAGGCTTATGCTCTTCG